GAGACCAAGGCCAGTGTGTCGTGCCGCTAAGCAACTACTGGCAATTGTAGATAATCGACCGCTGATCGACTTGTCTGAAGCGCATTCATCCCTCACTAAGTACCATAAGGTAAGCCTGTGGGTTAGTTGGAATATCCAGCGTTTAGAAGATACCTTTCAGGAGCTGCGAAGGGTACAGCAGTTGCGACGGAACTTTTTGCTGATGAAATGCTATTTTGTTAGCTGCCGAGTGAGTTACCTCTGTTGATTTCTGACTGGTATCAAGCTTTGACTTCTTTGAACTTTCACTTATGACCGATACGCGGTAAGTAACACGAAGGTCAGATTCTCTGGAGACTTCTAGGATTATGCGTTATCTTTTTGACTTTATAAAAGTGATGGCACTTGATTGGGGACCATTTTTCTCGTCCTCATTAGGCTGATGTCAGACTTTGCGAATCGCGTGATTCGCTGCGCGATTCGATGATTGAAGCTCAATGCTTAAAATTATTACACTTGGTCCTTTGCTTTTCAATTTTGAAGAGCAGAGGCTTTGCGTTAATATTTGTTACTCTCTATGCTTGGTGTTTCTTCGCACCGTTGCGATTTTTGACTTCCTAGTTTTCATAACTATTTCAGAACGCCGCGAAACTACGCATTCTGCAGTATCTAAATCGACATCAGCACTACGTGGAAGGTGCGGATATGTACTCCCTAGCTGACGTAAGGGCTCATCTTGTTTACTGATTGTTTTCACCTATTGTGATTTGCTAAGTTTGTCATTAAGCTGCTCTGTTTAGCTGCGAGAACTTTGCCTTGGGAACTTGTTACGTGATCTTGAAGATATACATACGGTATTTCGGAGGCATATCGAAGAGGTAAATCACAGTCTGTTCCGTTCGAGTTCTCTTTTCTCCTGGGCAGCTGATTTGCTGTATTTTCAGGAATGCGAGATATGCGCAGGGAATGGGTTTTATTGTGAACTATGTGAGGATCAAGAGCAGAGAAATCAGGTGGGTTGGCTTCTCATATTATTAAGTTGATTAGATTTGGTTTCTGAGGTTGACAACTAACGCTAAATTCATCAGGGTAATAACTATCGCGCCGAGTAAGCTTAAAAATAGTAATTCAACCACTTTGTGCTGAACGCTACACTCGTTCGCTGGAGGATACTTGACGACACAGTGAAGGTAGCTGTGCGGGTAAAGGTTCAGAAGCAACTACACTTCTGGGCGGCTTATGTGGTGCTTGGCCTCGCCATACGTTTCATTGGCGATCAAAGCGAAATCCCTTCTTCACCTATTTTCTTAACGTAAAAGAGGGAACTATAATTTGCTCATGAATTCAATGGTGTTCCTAAAAACTCAGAAAGAGCTTGCTCTGTGAGGCTGGTGTCAGAGTCGCGACCGAGGCGAGGTTCCGTCGCAGGTTTCGCGATTTTCGCGATTTTCGCGATTTGCGCGAAACCTGCGACGGATCGCAAAAATTGCAAGTGTGTGAACATTGAAACACTGAATATGAAACAAGTGGCGGCAGGATTGGAGAACACCTTGCAGTATTGATCGGGCACTTGTGATTTCCGTGACCCGTCGCGTGAATCGCGCAAATCGCGAAATCGCGAAATCGCGCAAATCGCGAAATCGCGTGAATCGCGCAAATCGCGAAAATCAGCGAATTCTACGACGGACTCTGACACCAGCTTGCATTGGCTCGGGCGGACTCACAAGCACACACTTCCTCAAGTGCATATAGCAGCTATTGCCACCCAACTGCACCAATCTATAAACTCTCGCCTATTTTGAGATTCTGATGTACTTGAATAGATATGGGATTACCATAGTTCCTCATTCAAATTTCTAATTTCAGCTCCTTTTTCCGTTTTCGGAAAATGTAGCAATGTGCCCGAAGTGCTTGGCTGTTTTCCATTCGAAATGTTACGAGAAGCGCAGTTCTACATGTACAAGGTAACGAGTTTTCTTTGCACTCGTTATTCGAATTTTAGATCCATCTTTATTCTTTGCTTTATTTTCATTTCAATCAAACTCAGGCATTTTAAATTGACGCTGGTAAAGGCATCTATAGTGACGATTATTTTAGATGCGAAAGGAGGCGAAAACGTGCTGATTCTGCGAGGGAAGATTAGCTACCAGATAAAATCCTTCCTCTGCCTACTTTTTCTTCCAAATATTTAATAATTATTAGACTTTATGTTAAGGTTTTTGTATTTCTGCTGTCACCTCTCACATTTCACTCATAGTCGTGGCCTTGCTTTCCTTTTTTTGTTTTATTTTCCCTTTACGTATTAAGCATGTCTTCTTGAGCTCATGTATAGTCGTCTCGGGTTAATCACCACTTTTTCGAAGTCAGTAGTAGAAGGGTATCTCTTTTTATTTTTCTTTTCGAGAAAGAGTTTACGATTCAGTTGCTGTTATATTTATTATGGAATATTTTAATGAGATACTTACCATTAGACATATCCGCTTGTTAGTATTACATTGATGTACAGTTGCAATGAATTTTAGTGTCTGCGTTGACTGAATTTATGGATAGGTGTAAAACACTGAGTCACTCAGGTACTGCTTATCCTAAAGTTTGGAAGGCACATTTTGCGACTGCAGTATTTGGGCATTGCTTCTTAAACATGAAACAGTCTGCTACAAAAAACGGCTAAAAAGAACTGTTGAAGGCGATCTGAATAAAGCCCCACTCCATAGCCAACTGCGGCTTATTATATGGCCACGCACAAAATAGAGTGTGTGTCCGATTGAGAAAGTGCGACGGCGAGGGTAAGAGGAAGGAGAGAGATGCCCGAGACGCAGATGGAAACTTTGCTCCCAGCGTTTGGGATCTGATGGCACGGTTCTCAACACCTTGGCGACAGCCCCTTGTGCGTGTACCTCGACACTTTTTTGTTTATTTTTTCACGATCGTCATAGCTTTTTTAATATTTCCACTACTGGAAATTGATACACAGTTTTTCGAATAAGATAATGCATGCACACAGCTCCGAATA